GCAAAAATTAAATAGAGTAGGGTTAGAGAAAATGACAACGGAAATTTTATAGTGGTTCGGCAACAACCGGCCTACTCCACTCCCCAAGCGCCTCTTGGGTATTCGATTAAGAAACTTTGACTCTTTCCACGGTAGGAGTCAAACCGATATAAAACCTTCTTTTTCCGGGAGCAAGAAGAAACTCAATCATTTCCACGGTTCAGGATCACAAATGCTCTTTTTAGGGCTCAAGAGCAACCCTTACAAAGGATATGAAATTTGAGAACGAACTTACAAACTCTCTCAAATAGTGGGTATACAAATATTTGCTCACAAATTTGTATGAAAAAATTCTTACAAATAAAAGCCCTCAAATTGGCTAGAAGAAATAAAATTGAAAGCTCAAATATCTCTCAAATAAAAAATCTCTCTCAAGAATATAGAACAAAAATTGAAGCTTTGAAAAAAGATTAACAATGTAGAAATTGAAGAGAAAATTGGGAGAGAATGAGTTAGGTAAAATGTTGAAGGAAGTGGGGTTTAAATAGGTGAGGAAAAGTTGAAAATAAATTTTAAATCGAAATTGAATTTGGGTCATTAGATATTTAATGATTGAAAATCAAAAGTTGAGATTTAATTGAATAAAATAATAATTGATTTTGAAAATATAATATAATAAAATAATAATAATAAATATTTTTTTTTCTTTCTCTCTAACTGCTCTTCAAGACTTTTTTTTTCTTTCTTTCAAGTTACCGTTGTAACTTTTTTTTTAATTTCTTTTCTTCTCTTTTTCTTTTCTCTTTTCATTCTTTCTATAAACTAAAAAAAAATTCTTCTTTTCTTCTTTTCATTTTCATTTGTAAACTAAGATTTTTGACTCGCAATATGTCCTCCTCTATTCGTCCATGTAGGATTTAATTGTCACGTCAATCACTTCGGGAATTTATCCTTTCAACTTGATTCGACAATAACTTCTTTGTTTGAGCTCCGATTTGGGTAATTCAAAAACTATTGGAATCTTTATTTCAAGCTCTACACTGTGGATACTTCAAAACACTAAAATTGTCAAATAAAAAAATTAAGTTTGTTATAATAAAAACATTAAATAATTAATTAATTAATTTGAGATTAAAGGCCAAAAACCCAACAGCAGCCAGTCGAGCTAACGCATCTGCGTTGACATTTTGAGTACGAGGAATTTGTCAAATCTCATATTTTGAGAACTGGTCGAGCTGGTCTCTTATCTGAGAAATGTATTTCGTCATTCGTGGTTCTCTAGCTTGAAACTCTTATTTCACCTTACTTACAATTAGATGTGAGTCATTGAGTATCAGTATATTTCTGACCCCAATGCACCTGGCCACCTTTAATCCTGCTAGCAGAGCCTCTTCGTTGTTGGATGCATGAAAATTGAATCGCAGTGCATATTCGAATCTTTCTCCATCTTGAGAGACCAGTAAAAGTCCTGCCCCGCATCCTCAAAAATTTGAGAACCCATCTACGTAGAGCATCCAGGGTTGCTCTTCCTCAACTAGTTGTGGTTTGATGCTACATACTCGAAGTTCTGCTGGTGTTAGTTCTGCTATGAAATCTGCCACAGCCTGCCCTTTCATAGTAATTCTTGACTTGTAGTGAATGTCGTACTCGCTGAGCTCCACGGCCGACTTTACCAATTGCTCTGAAGTGTCTGGCCTTTGCAAGATCTGTCGTAGAGAAAAATTGTTGAGGACAGTTACTTTGTGGGCTTGGAAATACGGATGTAGTCTCCAAGCCGAAGTGACCAGTGCTAACGCCAATTTCTTCATTTGTTGGTATCTAAGCTCTGCATCTACCATTGCTTTACTTGTGTAGTAGATTGGAGATTGTCGCCCTTCTTCTTCTTTTATCAATGCGGAACTCACTGCAGTGTTGGATACAGCTAAGTACAAGTAGAGTTCATCACCAGCGATCGACTTTGAGAGGAGTGGGGCTACCCCCAAATATTGCTTTAGCTCTTTAAAGGCAGCCTCACACTCTTCAGTCCATTCAAATTGCCCTTTCTTCCTTAGGATTTTGAAGAACGGCAGGCACTTGTCAGTTGAGCGGCTAACAAATCTGTTGAGTGCCGCTATCCTTCCGTTGAGTCCCTGTAGTTGCTTTAGATTTCTAGGTGGATCCATCTCTAAAACAGCTTTGATCTTATCTGGATTGGCTTCGATTCCTTTTGATGCACTAAAAATCCCAGGAGCTTGCCTGAGGTCACTCCAAACGTGCGCTTAGTAGGATTCAGCTTCATCCTGTACTTTCTTAAAACATCAAATGCCTCTGCCAAATCCTTCTCATGTTGTTTATCTTTTCGACTCTTTACCTTCATATCATCAATGTAGACTTCCATATATTTACCGATTAAGACTGCAAACATTCGATTTACCATTCGTTGGTAGATCGCACCATCATTCTTCAACCCGAACGACATTACCGTGTAGCAATATAGACCTCAGCTCGTGACAAAAGAGGTCTTCTCTTAATCTAGTAAATGCATCTTGATTTGATTATACCCAGAGTAGGCATCCATTAAACTCAATCTTTCATGTCCAGCGGTAGCGTCAACCAGTTGATCTACTCGAGGCAAGGGAAAAGAATCCTTTGGACAGGCATTATTTAGGTCTGTGAAGTCGATGCACATTCTCCATTTGCCATTTGGCTTCTTCACCAGTACTACGTTGGATATCTACTAGGGATAATACACTTCTCGAATGAAGTCTGCTTTCAGTAGCTCCTCTACCTGTTCAGCCACTATTTCGTTCCTTTTCTTGGTTGAATGCACGACGCTTCTGTTTCACTGGTTTATAGCTTTCGTCGACGTTGAGGCGGTGTACCATGACTCCTCGATCAATTCCTGGTATGTCCTCATGTGACCATGCGAACATGTTGGTGTTGCTTCTGAGGAAGCTTATAAGGCTCTTTCTTTCCTCATCCCCCAACCTAGTTCTGATGTTGACTCGTCAATCCTTGATTATCTGGGAATCAAAGACCTGCAAAATCGATCAAATCTAAACCGATGTGATTCCTACCACACGGGTGTTGCATCCACACAACTGTGTTGACAATACGTGCAAGTATACATGAATCGCGGTTGTAGTACGTAACGAGGTCGTATCCACAGGGATTTTTGGTTTATATTCTAACGATAAAAGTAGATACCAACAAATAAAAATTATACAAAGCTTGGGTATGGATATTATCTAAAGAAAGAAATAAAATAAAGTAATAACAACACGACAGAAACTTGCAAAGGACGATGGTATTGAAGTTGTCAACACAAGAAAGTAGTAGCACATCAAGCAATAATGGGGGAATAACAGATATGAAGAAGGCGGTGGAGATTTAGCATGCTTTCACAAGTTATCAACCTACCCTCTAGCGTAGCTAACATTTATCAATGTCCAGTTCGACTCAGTTCCCTTCCGAGATATCCCAAACATGAGTAAATACAACTCCCGTTGCTAGTTACCCAAGCAATAAACTCAAACTATAGGCATGATTAGGGGACCCCATTCTTGAGTATCCCTATAGCTATATAAAAGCGCTAACCACAAGCAAAACAAATCAGTACCTACAAGCTCTTCCGGGTCAATACAGAAGCTAGCAACACGAAACAGCGGCCAACAGTAATATAAAGATTAAGAAATAAACTCATAATTGCTTAAAAATAAATGTAGCAGCTAGAGGTTCGGTCTCAAGTCAGTTACAGCATGTAAATCCCCCTCCCCCCCTAAAATAGGGTTCACCTCATAATGGGTAAAGAAAACAAAATGGAAGAAGAAGAAATACAACCCATAGCAGAAAAATAGCTAAATGACAGAGAAGAAGAAGCAGTCAGCTTGTTCCAGCAGGCGAACTTCCCCTTTCTGGCATCAGCTCTCCTCCCAAAAATGGGTATATTTCGTTCCTTGGTCTTTTCAACTCTCAATTTTTGTCTTCCTTGGGATTTGCGTGCCTGTCAGGTAGGGCAATATTTCCTTTAAATATCGGGTCCTGTTTTTAGGGCACCCGACTGGGGATTGTACGGACATAAGTGAGTTGTCGTGTTTTTGAATTAACTGTATGAACACTCATGCTCTAGCATCGCTATGCTCTAGCTTTTATATGCTCTGACTTGAAAATGCTTTGACTTTTCTTCTTTGGTTCAACATTTCCTTCTCTTCTTAGCTATTCTTTAAAAAACTGTGCAAATGAGCCACAAATACGAGAATTTATGCTGTTTTTGGCAAAAGTTCTCAAGACTAAGGATATTTAGCTAAGAATTTACAATTAAACACTATTCATGCTGTTATGACCTAAAACCGACACACTTTGACATTTTAATGCACATTTTCACCCAAATAATCACCAGAATAACTCTATTTTGGAGAGTTATCAACGCTGTTCGATGCCTAAGTTAGCAAGGAGAGTAGATGAGTAACGGAATTCAAGTGTAGAACTTTGCTTACCCTAGGGTTAGGCAACATGATCGATTTATAGTCGCTTGGAAGGTTCCAGAACCTTCTAAATGAGTCCTAGACGATTGTTGTGCAGGCCCAATGACTCGTAGTCAACAAAAGAGAGAGAATGTCTACTCGGCACCGAGCAGGGGTATTCGATCGGTTGGCATAGGGACCAGGTGGAAGAGATTGGGTTGCGTCTTGACCCGAAGGCCAAGACAAGAAGTCGGCGCCTCGGAGCCGAGGAGGCTTCGGCGTCGAGGTGGGGACGGCGCCTCAACGCCGAGGTGGTCTCTGCATCGAGGCGGATCAACTTTCAAATTGGGTCGGCCCTTACGTTATGGGCCGGCCACCATTCGTTGATGATCTCGGACTTCTTCTTCTTTCATGGTCCGACCTCTCATCTCGTTTGGATCGTTTTTATTCTCTATAACAAGCTTTGTCAGCATCTTGCCATTGCCAAAGTTTACTTGAGACCTCGAACCATAATCAAGCTTGATAAAGAAGCATTTATTTCCTATCGTATGATTACTACAACTGCCATCCAAAACACCATATATACTTTACATTAAACAAAATCAAGTCGATCGAACCAAACCAAACTCCGTTCCATATTTCATGACTCCAACGAATTGTGTTTTCTTTGGACATCGAAACGAGAGATGATGAGCTAACGTCTAAATTGAAACCAAACTGATCGAGCGTGGTTGAAAATTTTTAAAATGTATATCCTTTTTGCAAATCTGACTGGAAATGAAACTGAATATGTACAATTCAATCAACTAAGGTGATCATACATCATCCTGATTTGACTGCAATAGGACTTCTAACAAAATGCTTCCCGTCTGACCACACCATAGTCCCAAACAAATACACTCCTTGTTCAGCTTTTGGCGTAGTCTGCAACACAACCTTGAAAGCCTTCTCTTCACCCGCGGTACGAAACTGTAACGTACTCGGTTCCACCACAACTGAAACCCCCAACGGCGCCTTGACGCGCGCCGTGTACGTCCCTGGACTTCCCACGTTCTTAACCCTTCTGTTGACCGTCGTCGGAGCTCCGACTTTCAAATTCGGGACCGCAATCGACGGGTAGTTTAGATCTGTGAGTGCAAATGATTTGGCGCAGGTGAATGGCTTGTTGGAGAATTGTCTGAGCTGTGTCTGATTGGCACCCCGCGCGCATAAGTAGTTCAAGTAGTCGTCGATGGTGGTGTCATAGACCAAGCCGGGGTCCATTGCATCGTTTGGTTGGACATGTCCTGCGCCGTATTCGAGTGGGCTTGCTTTGCCTTTTGTGAAGTCCAAAATTGATTGCCTCGTGTTGTCCCTTGTTTTAGCTGCACAACAAAGTTTGAATTTTAGTCAAATTTTTAGAAGTAAAAACAAGTTTTTTAATAAAACTACCTTGCTTGGATTTTGAAAATGTTTTTATAAAGTTGATAAAAAATAAAGAAAGTGGGAAGTATTAGTTCTAAGTTAATTTTAAAAAATAGAAAATACAAATTAAAGTGGTTATCAAGCCCGCCTAGCAATTGATTAGATTGTTTTACGAGAAAATGAAATAAGTTTTAAAAACTATTTTAGTGTCTGTAATTTCAGTTTTGGTTCATTTTGGTTTGTGACGTACTTTTTAAAAGGTCTATTTTGGTCTATCTACTTTAAATTTTTATTCACTTTCAAAACGTCCATTTTAATTTCTTCATTTTCACTTTTATCTCATTTATGTCAATCATAATTTTAGCATAACACTCCACTCACTAAATTTCTTGAAATAAACCCATAAATTTGTGTTGAAAAAATTTCCATTAGGTATTAAAGTTTGTTTTAAAACATTAACCAAAATTGGACATTTTTTAAAAGTACAATAACCAAATCAGATTAAATGTTTTGGAAATATGAATGAATGTTGGAAGTACAGTGACCAAAATAGTATTTAAATCATAAAATAAAGGAAAATACTTAAAATCGGTGAGGACCTATCTCTATTCTAAGCACCATTGAAAAATTGATATCTCATTATTTTCTAAAAAATTATCTGTTTTTTACTTTCTCTCCTTTAGTTGTGAAACATTTAATGATGATACGAGAACATGTGGTCGATGGTTCAGTAAGGACTTAAATAGTTTCCTAAAATAAATAGTTTCGAAATTTAAAGACCAAAATAGAATAAATGGTTGGGTTGTAATTCACCTGTAGTCATGAGTGCGGATTTGATGGCAGCTGGACTCCACGTAGGATAAAGGGTCTTGAGAAGGCCTACAATGCCAGAGACGTGTGGGCATGACATGGAAGTCCCAGACTCCAGATTAAAAGCAACTCGGCGCTTATCAGATTCTAAATCTGTTAGCGCCAAGTCATCGGGGAATGCTGCAAGTATACTCACACCTGGTGCTGTTATATCAGGCTACAAAAGTGTTTTTAGAGAAAGCATTTGATTAGTAATTGTTGAAAAAACGATAAAGCCCTTCACTTGAAATCACGGTTCGCGGAAGTTTTACTCCTAAAACCGACCTTCAGAATCGACTCGTCGATCGGACTCGGGCCTCTTGATGAAAATTCAGCCATGACGGGTGTTGGTTTAATTCCCAACTCGGTCTTTACTTGGGTTATGGAAGCCATTGGTGTCCTGATTTTAAAAGTACACAAACTAAATATTTCGCGCCATAATTAATTGAGTTGAGTGACAATTTTTATCTTACACTTTTAATTTTATTAAATTATACTTCAAAATTGGATAAGTGTCGTAGTCCTAACATTTTTGTGAAACTAATCTTGAACTTCTAACTTTTTTTAGGGAGTTAGTGCACTAGTTTAGCTAGATGAACTATTGAATAAATCTCCTAAAACTCAATAATTTTAACAAAAAGAAATTTAGCCCTTAGTGTTGTCCTTCTTTGAAACCCTATCAATTTATTATTCTGTATCTCTATTAGTAATCTATATTAAAATATAACGCACTTATCTAAGTCCAAGACTTAATTGGTTTTCATAAAATTGAAAGGTTAGAGTGATCTAAAATTGACTCGTAACTCAATAAGTAGGTGATAGCTAGCCATTTACTTACTTGGTCGAGTTGATATACTCCTTAATCAAAAGCCCATCTTTGTAGCTTACATGGGCAGCAGGAAGGAAGTGTGGATCGAGAAGAAGTTGATTGTTATTTTCATCCTCGTTAACGAGAATCATCCCGACCCCACTGACACGAGCAACCTCGGAACCCTTGGCGAGTCTCGCATTGTCTCCTCGAAGGCAAACTACAATCTTCCCTTTTGCCTTTGAGGGATCAAGTGATCCTTCCTCGCAAAGTCGGCTGTGAATTAAATTGTTCAACAAAAGTATATGAATTATTAATTGAAATGGGTTTCGAAGTTGAGTTGTTCACAAAAGTTGGAGCCAAATATGTGATACTCACGCATCGATATCAGGGATATTTTCGGCACCTTTTGCATCCACAGCATTGATCAAAGGGTACAACTGTCCACTCGGCGTTCCTTGAGAAGAAAGACTTGAACCCTGTCAACATTTGGTAAAACCTAAGCATGTTTTTTTTAGAAATTAAATTGAAACTTTTAAAGTCATATAGCAAAAATGAACTTTTAAGTACCTTGATTTGCATCTTGTTTCCAAGGTCAACGTAGGTGGCGAACTCTCGGTCGGTCGTACTAGCTGCAATCGTGAACATCCAAGGAGCGACATTGGTGACAGTCTGGGGATCCGGTCCATCATTCCCCGCTGAGCACACGACAACGATTCCTTGTTGAACAGCATGGAACGCCCCTATCGCTAGAGGGTCATCGGGAAAATCTTGGGCCTGTGTACCGAGAGAAATCGAGATGACATCGACGCCATCTTCAATGGCAGCCTCAATCCCGGCTAGGATATCAGCGTCGAAGCAACCGCCTTGAGTAGCGGGCCAACAGACCTTGTAGGCAGCAACACGAGCTTTAGGGGCACCACCTTTTGCAGTGCCATTGGCATTGCCAAACACATTGGCGCCGGGGACAAAGTTGCCACCAGCAGTGGACAAAGTGTGGGTTCCATGCCCTCGATGGTCTCTTGCTGTGTTGTAGGACGAGTCATTTTGAGGACCATATGCTGATATGAAACCTTGGTTGAAATATCGAGCTCCAATCAACTTCCTGCATTTCAAACCCACGAGAATTTCATTATTCGTCATCAGTTTTCTTGTGTTGGTCGTCCCGAGCAAAACTCTATAGTAGAAAGAGAGCACCAACATTTGTTGAATTTGGCTCGACTTCTCCCCTTTCAATCTCGTGTTCTATCATTCTTACACCTTGTTACCTAATTAATTAATCGCGCACTCTTTCACCTATTCTTAGGGTAATGTTGTTTATTCTTTGCATCGGTATTTGAAAGGTTTTCCAGGTCCGGAGATTTTGTTGCCACCATATTTGTCCTTTCAAATTCGTGCATTTGCCAATTCAAATTGGGGTTCTTGTTTGGATTCTCAAA